TGCAAGATCTTGCAAGATAACCCTCTTTTGCAAGAATCTTGCAAGATTTTGCATGATAACCTCCCTTGATCGACTAGGGTTGAAACAGAATAAAAAAGAGAAGTTTAGAAGGTTCTTGGAAAAACGAATGCTACTGGAAAGAAAAATTGAATAAAAAGACAGTGAAAACAAATTGCTTCTATCTACTGTGCCTGTTTCTTCAATTGCTTTACTTTCTCATTATGCTCAATGTCTTTTTCAGATTAGTCTGTTGATGAATTGGATTGAATATGGTCTCGATTTGAAGTTGGCAGAACTGGCCTTAAGATTTTATTGCAGGCAAACAAAAACATTCGGGTTATGCATCTGACAATTAGCGTGTATGCTCCAATGCGGGCATCCACCTAGAAGGATCTTGTTAACTAAATGCTCCCATATAGTACCTTGTAACGAATTGAGTCCCCCTATAAAGGGAGAAGTGAACAATTTAGCTTATCCGAATTTTGTACCTTTTTGTAACGAATTGTCACCCCTGTTGCAATAGGGGAGCATATCGTTAAGAAAACCCAAGTGCGCTATTTGACTTTTTGGGATACGTTCGAAAAGCGGACATTAGTTTGAGCAAATGGGCAGCATTCAAGCCTCCATAGAACTTCATTAAACATGATCAAAGATAAAATATCTCTTTTCACGTAATTTTGGCAGTTGATATCTTCATTGAAGTGTAGAAAAAGTTCCATTGAAAAAAACTAATGATTTGATTGCCTCAATTTGCCTGAATGAAAACTAAGCGGCTATCAGTATTTCACAAACCTCTTCGAAAATAAACGGAATGATTACGGTAAAAAATACAACAAGTAGATTGAACTCGATCAAGGGTGCTCTATGATGGAGGAGAATAATAGTTTTTGGCGAAAAAATTCAAGGTAGCTTCCTTGGAGTTTCTTCTTCTAAATGACATCAATTGAAAAACACTATACGCGAGTTAATCATACGCGAGTTAATTTTAAGGCACTTCTTTTTGTATTTCAAATCACGGCGTTGATATTGTTATCAGTTGGTTTGTCAAGCTAGAAATTCATTTTAAAACAAATATAAATGGTTAATTAGTTTGGATTGCGTGGAAGGACTGCGTGAAATGTGAGAGACTCCAACAAAAAACTCAAACGTTACGAAATTGAGCGCACAAATAAAAAATTAGTTTGTTTCATTTATTACTCATTATTAATTCAGTACTTTGTTTTGGTTATTTACAGCATTATGACCAATTCATTGCTACATATCAATATTATTGCACTTACAAAAATCATAGCAAAAAGTTAGCACTTTAAAACAAAATTGTTTCAAAAATTTCATGTTAATTCATGTTTTATTTAATTTTTTCAGAAAAATTACTGGTTAAATCTAAAAAGAAATGGTGAAACACAAGTGTAAGGATCCTACTTTTGAAGAAATGAGGAATATTTGTCCCTGGGATAGTTTTTCATCAGGTGAATTTTAGGCAATCAAAATATTGACTGAAAACGAAACGTGACTGAATAGAAAAGCACCCCGGCTATAAATACTTCACATTTCTTCAAAAATTGGATAAAAAGTATGTCCAACTTGAGTTATCTCAAATTTGAGACAAGGGAAAAAATTTCAAATTTTTATGTTTTTATGAAAGATGCTTGCTTTTAAATTTACTTTCAAAAAAGTGACATACCACCACTTAATTATTTCGCAATATGAAGACTTAAGTTCTTGGTTTTAGCTATTTGATAAAAATGACGAAATAAACGCGCCGTGAACTTTTTTAATGATTCTGAAAAGGTAATGCGGATTTTTTATGCGTAGCTCAATATCCCGCCCAAAAAGGTCGTTTCAAATTAAAATGGGGAAAGCAAATTGGTCCTATTAATTTTTTAATAATGAAGGATTCAAATTTAATGTTTGTTATTGTTGAATTTTTATGATTTCATAAAACATCTTCAACTTACAATTACTCGAAACTGATCAAAGTGTAGTCGGATTATTAAGGACTTTGACCTGATGCCACACGAGTAGACATTTTTTTTGCTTTTTTTTTGTTTGTTTCGGTCTAAATAATGCATTATCAAAAGCTATCACTTTGCACTCGACATTGCCTTGGTAACCATTTCCCTTTTTCGGAGATTTTAGAGAAAAAATGGAAGAAAAACAATGATTTGTTTTGAAGTCTTCTCTAAAAACACTGAAGGGCAGTTTCGTCCTGATCTGAGATGTCCTGTTTTCTGATTATTCTCAATGAGAAGTGAGCAATAATGGAACCAGTTTAAAACAAGTATTTAATATATACAATTATAGTCTTGATAGCTATCACTGTAAAATACTTCGAACTGACCAATCATGATCCATGACTAAAACAAAAATGATTTGCAAGGCTGAAATAATTTATAATTTCAGCCACAAAACAACAAAATTATCATAGAAAGCAGTTGCTGTTCCTCATCTCTAACCTCGCAAGAATACCAGTTTATACTAGATCTATTGGGACTAAGAAAGGTAAGAATAAGATTAGGATCAGCATTAGACTAAAATGTTGCACGAATCTATCCGGCCGAAAAAAATTTTTACTTTATCCGGCCGAACAGGCGGTATATATTATACAAAATTTCTCTATGTGAGAGCCACCCCCGACACAATTTCATTTTTTTGCGACCAAACGAGTCCCGAGCAGACATATAAGACTCTAGATTTAGAAGAAACAAAACATAGGAAAGACATATGCATTAGAAAAAATCAATAAAAAGATATACCGAATCGAAAACGTAATTAAGTTATTTCCCCGTCTCAATAAGTCTAATCAAAGCATGTTGATATAAAGCTGAAACCAGGTCACAACATTGATGACAGACCAAACATCTGCATTGCAAAGCGGAAAAGCATAGTTCAACGATTATTCATCTACAAAAATATTTATGCAGTAAATTTTCATTCAAAAATATATGATCTGCAATAAATAGAGCTGTGAGCTTGATTCCCAAGCCGCATATTTTAATACTCTTCATAATTAGTGTTAAACATAAAATACCTAACTGACAACAAAACTTATGTCTACCTCGGAACTTTGAAATCTGCAGTATTTTTGTAAATCTTTCAAACCTTAATGTTTATTTGAATATACAAAATACAAAAAAAATATAGTAAAAGGTATTTTTTTTAGTTTTTACAAAAATATATGGTTCCTTGCTTCTTATGGACTTACTCTGCTCAATTCAATTCATGATCGTTGAGGCATTTCTTAGATCTTTTACTATTTTTAAATCATTAATTTTGTTTATATGAAATTCATCAAGAGCAATCCTTGTTTAACTTAGATCTCAATTTCTTACATTTAAAACCAGATGATCAAGGCTAACATTGGATCTTTATATTTTAACTGGAAATACAAATTCTAAGTTTTCATCCATAACTTGTAATTTACTTAAATTTAAAATTCAGATCATCAAGCCATCTTTTGGATTACGTGATAAATTTACCCTCTCCATTTAAACTAGTGTCTAACGATCTCAAAGGTAGATTCACTTTCCAACCCTGATATACGACCCAGGATTAAGTGAAATTTTTCCAAAAAAACTAACCATTCAAATTAGGCTAAACAGTAAATAACTTCTGTTACTCATCCATCATTTGAACCTTACCTCCTAAATGATCCAGGCCTTAGAACAAACCTTAGAACTAGTAAGATGTAAAACAGTATCTAACGATCTACTTGTGTTCTCGTTCTACCTGAACCTTGTGGATTGATTTACTCTCCTCCAATCCTTGATCTCTCAACAAACCCCATTTAAAAAAGATTAGGTTTACTTGAAAGTAAAGAACGTCACATTCGTTTGAGAGCAGTAAAAAGTCATTCTATCAAATTGATATACTCTCTCCCCACGCGGTGGTTGAAAAATGTTGTAAAAAATGCTGTGACTATCATTTTAAAGCTTTTTCAATCGTAAATTGAGCATTGTTTTAAGGTTCGCAAAAAAAATCGTTCATTTGAAAAACAATTGGCTGAATAGTTTTTAGTTTTCAGTCTAACTTAGAGCACGAAGATTTGAACTCACTCTGTCTTTTATGAACTACGATAGAAAAGAAACTAAATCGATTTTTTTGCTCGCAAATTTAACGGGCTGATTTGTATTGTCTTTTAGAAGGCAAAATATTGAACCCCTTCGTTTAACTGTTTTTTGAACTTTTTTTTTCACGTTTATTTTTGTAACAGTTTTTTCGAGAAGCTAGCTATGGCACCAGCGGATTTAGCCACCCATTAGGGATTCGACCCCCTGCCGAACCTGCCGATATCTCAAATATTCTATTTTGTGATATCCATTTTTGGCTGACTGACCCTAAAATTTTTCTAAAGATGCCTTTGGTGCCAATATATACAAATTTTGAGGTAGGAGCGCGCGCTCAAAAAACGCAAATTTTTGGTCAAATTTTTGTCCTGCTTGCTTATCAACCAGCTGGTCTTGACGTAGTTTAACTTGCTTGAATGATCGAAAACGGAATTCAAACAAAAAAAAACGGAAGTTTTTCAGTTACCGACTTGTTCTCGAAAAGGTTAGTGAACAAATAGGATGAATTGAACAGCTAAAATATAAGAGTTAAGTGCTAAGTGTCTGTATGCACTTTGTTAAACTATCAACTGACTACAACCTTCTAGAATATCCTTCATTAGCATTCGTAATCATCGTTCGTCATTTAAGAGTAGAGTTACCATATCTGAAGCTAATTTCCCTCAAAGGTTTCGACAGAAGGAGGGTTGAGAAAATTGGGCTTATCAGGCTGTAATGAGAAACTCTCGCCTCTAAATATGGAGAGGTGCGGTTTCTGAGAGGAAGCGGCTCCAATTTATTCAAGATAAAGATTGCCCCTGAAAACTGAAAAAAACGGTAAAATTTCAACAAATGAAAAGTCGTTGAGGTTTCATTTGAAAGCTTTTAAAGCACAGTGATGCATTTTTGCGAGGTTTTTATTGGTGTTCATCTGTATTTTTTTATATATGCTATTCTTATCAAATGTGCATTTGTGCTTTCGTTTCTTGCCGATAATGATTATATTCAAGAACTTGAACTTTGAAGGAGGCCTCTGCTTCATTCCTTTTAAGAAACATAAAACTGTCATTTGCTATACTCGCCGCAACTTTTCGACTTCAACGAAAGCTTGAAAAATGAATAAACTGATATTTCTACAATAAACAACTTGATCTAAAAGTTTCGTAGCCACTATTCTTACATATCAGAATGACTCTTGTCTTTCAAGCAGTGTCACTATTTTTGACCTTGATTACAATCGCAACGTGGATCTTCTTTTTAGCCCAGAGCAGATTAATGAAGAAGACAAACTTCGTGTTTTATTGCATTGCGTTGGCACTTGCCGACGTAATGAGTGCTCTTTGTCGACTTTCAACATATTCTGGGCTCAGTGAGGTTTTGAATGGCGACCAGAATCAAATGTAAGTTCTTTCATTTTTCTTGTTGATTGATCAAAAATTGGGAAACATATGCAGCTTTTTTCAGACAAAAATTAGATTTTGAGCACTTTTTTATAAGTTCAATAAGAATTCAGCAAGTTTTGATAGGTTTTGTTAGTTAACAAAACATGTTAGTTACAAAATATTCCTCAAAAATCATCAAATTTGTTGAAAGTCAATTAAAACTTGTAATTTTAAAAAGATTGGAAAAAAAAATCAATTTTAACGAGTTCTCTGTTAAGAAATGTAGCGAGTCTGAGAGAAAATTTATGTATTTCATTTGAGGCAACATTTACCGGAATGTTTTCAAATGTTAAATTTTATACTGCATCTAATCAACTCCCCCGCTTTGTGATCACGCGCCTTGGTGAAAATGTCAATGTTGGCGTCTAATTTTTGAGATACTGTCGGTTTTCTGGAGAATTTCAAAACAAATAGTTAAAACAGAGTGCATCTCAATGAATAGTTCAATTCCTCAATTTCTCAGAAGCAGTTAGTGTACTACGAAAAAAAATTATATGAATTAAATTCCGGCCCTAATAATTATATATTAAGAAAATACTTGCGGCGCGACTGAAGAAAACACCGGCAAAACGAATTAAGAAAAAATTGAGAAAAAACTGGCGGCAAGCCTCACAAAGAATTTTGCTCAAATGAATTTTTTGTTCCGACGCGCTGGTAAAGGCGGGTGTTTTTCAGTCACGGCGGTCCGTTATTGGTCTTTTTCAATCACCCCGATTGGGTCTGACCGGTGGCAATGATATTCACTTACGCTGGTCTTGAAATGCCAAGTCCAATTGCACGATTTATCATATAAAATTGCGCCGGTCTGATTTTACCAACTTTGGGTTGCGCTGGCTTTCTTTTGAATTCGCTGACCTCGCCCGGTAAATTTGCATTTTGAAGCAAAAGCTTGAATAATTCTTTCCCATTTGTAGGCGACAAATTATTTTGAAAATCTGGTATGATAGTTGTTTTGGGAATATTATCGTTTTAACAAATTGTTTTAACCATCATTTTTACAAATTTTCAAAAAAAAACTAATTTCAATTATAACATTTTATAAAAGAAGTCAAGATCCCTAAAAGGTTTTTTTTGTGATCATTTGAACATCTCAAGTTTGGGCTGAAAATGAATTAAAATTGTGATAAAAGCTGTTACTTTAATCAATCCTTTTCTGTTTTTTAAATGAGAGCAGAATGCAATTTGTCCGTTATGCTACAACTTGCAGCAAAAATAACTCTGAGAATCGTCTTTTTTTTGTTTCTGGGGTGTTGTCAGTGATCCCATTACCATAACCTATCGGCGAGAACTCAATTGTTTTTGCTTCTTGTTCATCAGTTTTTGGCATCGGTGTTAATTCCGTCGCTTTCATCTCGACGTCGTCTATACTTTGCTCAGTTGTCAATAGATCAGTTTTTGCAACGGGTGCACTCTTTCGTTTCTCAAGTTTTTCATCAGCTGCATCTTTTTTTCGTGTTGTCCTTTGTTACTAAGCATATTCACCATGCTAACTGAAACATTTCTCCTCTTTAACCTCGGTATTGTTATCACCGGTGTCTGTCTTGACGGTCCTTCTGAGCAATTTTGCCTGGGCGCGACTCGTTGCAGCCTTGCCAACAGAGGGAAGGACTTTAAAAAAGTTAGAGCCAGATAATGCCCAAGACCCACATAGACCCAAACAGGGACTGACCAAGAAACAGAAAAATCTTTGGCATCGTCTCTATTATGAATTTAATATTTTATTTCTTGTTTGTGTATATGTTTATATCGATTTAAAAACAGTTTCATGCCATTTGACGTTGTTTGTTGTTCAGTTTGAAAAATATGAATAAAAACAGAATCCTAAAAATCAGTGTAAAAACCTCAATCAATGTTTTTATGAATATTGATCTTTGTTTTGTTAAATCATCTAACTTTTTGGGGCTAGATGAAGATCAGTTGCCACGGTTAGATAAGATCTAATAGCAGCTTGTAAAATAAAATTGAACAGCGTCTTATAGCGAAATTTAGTTCGAAAAAAGACGCCCTGTAAAAACTCATTATGATGGTAAGATCGAATCGGAGCAAGCATTCAACCAATAACAAACCTCGAGTTCCAATGCCATCAGCGTCTTTCAGATACAGTTCTGATTTAAAATTTCCCGACAAAAAAATTGTCTCAAATTGGGTTAAGATTAGACCAAATGCAAAAAGTACAAAAATATGCTAACTTTTTACCAAAATTATTATGGTGCTTTTTTTGCGAATTTTGAAACCAAAATTTATCTGCTTAGTTTTTTCAATTAAAAAAAAATAATTTTATTCAGTACTGTAGTTTTTGCTTTAAAAAAGGAAACTTGCCAAAAAAAAAGATGGTTTTTTTTGTTTTTGTGGATTTTGAAGAATCCCCCCACAAACGCTATGTGTTTTACAAAATGACTTTTTATACATATTTATTTTGTATTAAATAGTTCATAAATTTTGCTTCGAATAGAAAAAAAATTATCTTTTGAGCGGCAAAAAATTGCCGTTTACGAAGTAATTGGATGAAAATCATCGCGCGTTAATGATGTCTAATTGATCGCAAGAGTTTTCCCCCAAGGTATTTAAACAAAAATTATTTAAAAACATGTTATCTAACAAATTTTTTCTTGGATTTGAATCTTTTCTTCTATGCAAGAGAAAGTTAAGTATGAAGATCGAATAGGCTCGAATAAGCATAATTAACCCGCTGACATTTTTTATTGACGATCGGTCTTGGAGAGGTAAAATATTATAAGTAAAAAAAAAGTTAGAATTTAGAATAAAAAAAACCATCAACAGTGAATTTTTTTTAAAACGTGCACTCATTTTAGCTCGAATATCGCGCGTGAATGTTTCGGCTTTCAAAATTAAGCTAAATTTTGCTTTTTGTTCAACAAAAAAAACTGATTTTAAATGGCAGACAAAACATCTACGGTTCGTCCTGATACGAGTAGTCTTGCTTGATTTTGCAGCCAAAGCAGCGGCTAAAGATAAAAAGTTTTAAATAGCTTTTACCCGACAGTTTTGTATTTGTGTTGATATAAGATTGGCCGGAAAGTTTGTTTCTGCTGGTTTGAGCTGCAATATTTCATGTGCACCGATGGTTTTTTGATTCAGTGGGTTAGCCGAAAAGATGACTAAGTCGATAGTTTTTTAAAGACAATTTTCTTCCCACTTTTGGACGACGGCAAAAAAATGCGCACCAACCATGTTAGTTCTTTCCAGCCTTCACATATTGGTTACTGTTTGCAAATTCTGAACTTTATTTTTTATATTAGTCTTGAGATAATCTGCTTCCATTGGCCTGCTCTAGAAACTTGTTATCGAAGTGGAAATTTTCTCCACCATTGTATTACCCAGGTCGAAATGCTCAACTTATGGTTCGACTTTGAAAGTCAAGCAAGTGCAGTCGTACAACTGGATTTCCGCGGTCGAGAAGCAATTTTAAGTCGAGCACAAAATCAAAAATACCCAATTTTGGCCGAGAATTTCAAAACATAGGTCAAAAAAGTCAAAACATAGGTCCAGAAAGTCGAAGCGTACCCAATTTTTGCCGAGAAACTTGAAACACAGGTCGAGAAAGTCGAAACAACCAATTTTGGTCGAGAAAAACAAATTATAGCTTGAAAAAATTGAAACATACCCGATTTTGGTCAAAAAAGTCAAAACATGGTTCGTGAAAGTCAAAACATAGGTCGAGAAAATCAAAACATACCCGGTTTAGGTCGAGAAAGTCGAAACATACCCAGTTTTGGTCGAGAAGGTCGAAACATATCATTTTTTGGTTTAAGAAGTCGAAACATAACTATGCGGGGTCAAGCAAACAAATATCGAATTTTGGTCGAGAAAATCGAAAAAAAAAACCTGAATTGGGTCGAACAAAGTCGAATATTTTTTTTTGGACCGAGAAAGTCGAAAACTACCAAAATTTAGCCGAGAAAGTTGAAAAGTACAAACGATGGAGGTCTTTGAAAAAATTAAATCAAACTTAATTGAGGCCAGATGCTTGAGTTTTTTAAATGTTACCGAGCGCTTATTGCATCACTTTTTGCTCCATATACACTTTATGCGTGTGAATGGTTTCAAAAAAAAATCAGAAAAATTTTTCATTTCACTTATTTTGAAAACTTCATCAATTGTTATAACAAAAAAAAATCCTTTTCTGACGACAAATGGCTGTCGGAAGACTTAGAGCAGTCCTGTCCTGCGGTAAATTTAGGGCGGTGTCCTGGTGAATTTTCAATACGAAGCTCAACGATGATCTGAAAGCTTTTCCATTTCATGTTGTTAAAGCACACTTTATAATCAGTTTTCAATTAAGATTTTGAATTAAAAATACCTGGATTTCGTTCAAGTGATTGTTTTCCAAAGTTAAATTTATATCACTGTGTTACTGCTTTTTAAAGTAATTTTAGTTTAAGTTATTGTATGTCTTGAAATAAATGACGGAATTTTTGTTCTCGGGGTGTTTCTCTCTCTAGACAAATTAAGATTTTTAACTGGCATGTTTTGACAAAAAATTTATCAAATTTAGAAAAAATGCTTTACCTGTGATTATTCACTGTAAAGTTATAAGGGCTTAAAGGTTGCCAATTTGGCCAACTTGGGGCATTTAATGCGTAAGAGGAGATTTAACCCGCCTTAGAAATAGTTCCAAATTGAATTGAGGCATTCTAGTTTGTCTATTTAATGATTTGCCCCTAACGAGGCCAAAATTTGCACTCGATATGCGCGCAATATGGTGTCTGTATGTTCCTGAATTCCATGACAAAATTTTTAAACATGCTCCAACATGAAAGTTGATTCCACTGACAACATTTCCGTGGATTCCGCGTACGAATTCCTGTAGCGTAAATTTTGTCAGTTTTTAGTTTTCTTGCTAATTCGGCAATGAGCGAATAAGGGTAGCTGTTTCGGATTACCCAAACGCAAGCGGGTTCCACAAATGTAAGTGGATTCTGCGAATTCATGCGGAT